AGAGGGCTGTTAACAAAGTGTTTTTCAGGTATAAAGTATGACTCAGGGATAAGCTTTCGCTTCCTTTCTTCTGTTCATTCAGCAACATATTTAGAGCCTTCCATAGACCAAGCTTTACTCTAGGCTCTGTGGAATCTGTTGTAAACAAAATGGACCAATGTTCCTTGTCCTGGAACCAATAAAAATTGAAGATGGAAGGCAAGAATAAATAAGTAAACAACAACAACAACAAAACCCAAGATAAATAAGTAAACAATGATCAAAAAAACATTTTTGAAATAATTATTCTAATTCTTTATAGCCACTGAATCTTATGAGAGTTCATAGTAAATAAATTACTTACAACAGCCAAATAGGGCTCAGCAAGAAACCAAAGGACTTTTGGCAAACCAAGACCCTGATGATTATTGTATTTAAATGGTAGAATAAAATATTGTAATAACAAAGACTTTTGTTTTTCAACATCAAGCAACTATTAGGTTTTGCAAAATTATTTCTTCTCCCTCAAAGAAAGCACCTTGACAGTATTAAAATGCAAACACAACCATACATGGTCTTTATGTGCAAATACCATGATTACATAAAAACGTAGCTTAACCTTCATAGGATACAGACATATACAGTAAAATGGAAAAAACCCATTTTTTTTTTTTTTATTTTTTTTATTTTTATTTATTTATTTTTTTTTTTGTGACGGAGTTTCGCTCTTGTTACCCAGGCTGGAGTGCAATGGCGCGATCTCGGCTCACCGCAACCTCCGCCTCCTGGGTTCAGGCAATTCTCCTGCCTCAGCCTCCTGAGTAGCTGGGATTACAGGCACGCGCCACCATGCCCAGCTAATTTTTTGTAGTTTTAGTAGAGACGGAGTTTCACCATGTTGACCAGGTTGGTCTCGATCTCTTGACCTCGTGATCCACCCGCCTCGGCCTCCCAAAGTGCTGGGATTACAGGCTTGAGCCACCGCGCCCGGCCTAAAACCCATTATTTTTATTAAAAAAAAAAAAAAACTTTTCAATTTTAGTTTGATATTTTTCTCATTTGGAACTTACTACTTTTATTTTTCATTTTTTTGGTGCTTTTTCCTTCTCTGTTCTTGCATTCTTATATCTTCAGATTTCTTCTTTAAAAGATTTAATGTCTATGAATTTTCTTCTGATTACAATCTTAGTTAAAGCACATCAGTGATCTCATATTCTAAATATTTCGTCATTGCTTTTACGCTTCCTTCTTGGCTCCACAGCTTCTAAGTGGGGTGATTTTTTATTCCATGTAGTTGGAATATTTGTTATTGATTTAGGATGTGATCAGAAGACATGGGGCTTTTAAAATATCATTTTCCTTGGGAAATTTCCCATTTTTTTTTTATTAATGATTAGAAGTTTCAACTACTTATGTATACTTTAAAAGGTAATATAGTTTCTGTTTGTGGAAACAAAAAAGTTTCAAACATATTTCTATTGATTTAATTCTACTATTTATATAACCAAAATATCCTATATTCTTTTACTCTGGTCTACTTCATCTATCAAATTGAAAGTAAAGTGATAAAGTCATCTTCTACAACTCTGTCCATAACTTTTGTAACTATAAGTTTCAACTTGTATTTTAATATTACACCTTTGTAACATAAAGGATTTAACTGTCATACTTTCCTTTACTGTGATATATTCCTTTTGTCAATTTCTAATGCATATTTTCTTCTATTGTGTCTGATATGAATTCTGCCATATTTGTTTTCTTCATTTTCAATTTTCCCTAACATATTTGTCCATTTTCAATTTTAACCTTTCTAGGTCAACTTATTTCAAGACTTCCTGGTAAACAGCTTTTAATTGGATTTTGTTTCTTAACCCAATCTAAGGTCTTTTTTTATAAATTAGGGAATTCAGCTGATTATTTATGTCTTAATTGTGTTTGACTTTTCTTTATCCTATTTTTCTTTATTTGCTGTCCCCTACTACCTGCTCCTCATTTGTGTTGCAGGGACTATTTCTTAGTAAATTTTGTACCGAGGAACCTAGTCTTGTGCCTGGCACATAACAGGCACTCACTAAGTGTTTGTGGAACGAATTAATACATTCAGCATATACCATTTGTGCAATGATGTGGAAGACACATACACTGCTTTTAGTTCTATTAGTGGTTAATTTTTTGAAACATTTAAAAGCCATTATTAAGCTTTCAAGGTTAACAGCACAATAATGAAGTTACACTCTTCTGTCCTAAACATGTAGAGTTTAGAAATTTTGAACTCCTTTTGGGAAATCTACTACTCCAGTCTTCGTCAACTTAAGTCATATTTATGACCATCACTATTTTATTATTTTTGTAATATGAAGCCATTACTTCACATAAAAGTGCATTTAAGATGATTCTTTAGATGTACACCTTTTTATTTAACTTGTATCCATTTTTACTTCCAGTCCTTCCAGTTATGACATCCTCATGCTTATTATTTTTTTATTTCTAATTATTCTGGTAAATATTTCTAATTAGTGTATTCAGTGAAGTGCCAGGGTTTCTACATCTTTGTCCATATATGAACATTTTCTACTGCTTTCCAAACCTGATGGCCCAGGTTTGAAGTATATCAGGATCTCTAAATCTCAAGTTGCCTTGGAGATTCCAACATGACTTTTTTGGAGTCATGTTTCTCATCCATCAAGCCAAAGATTTCGTTAGTCTGTGTGCACAGCTGGTTAACAGCTATCAGTTGTAGCCTCAGGTGTACTGGGAGCAGATGAAAATTTGAGACACAGTATTTTAGACTGCAGTGTCACTGACAAGGCTGAGTCTAATACTTCTTGTTTCTGCATCGGTATCTTCACTTTCTATTCTGAGGTACCTGGCTGGGTCTGGATCAGGGCCATCTCTGTGGCTAACACTACACAGTGTTGGGATTGGCAGCCTCTCCAGAACCACATGCGGTGGGGAGAGGGAGTTCTCTAAACAAACAGCAGCGCTGTTTCTAGAATGTGGAGGCAGGGATGCTAGGCCACCAGAAACCATATGTGTCCACTCTAGGCAAGGTGATGAGAAAGGGATTTCATGAAACCAAATGTGAACCTTCTGAGTGAGTCTTCTAAACATTTTGACCAAGAGTTTTTAGATTACGAGATTTAAACCTAAGGAACTGACTTGAGGTAATTTTCTGAATCTTATTCCTCGTTTGTTTATTTTTTTAAGTACACAGGTCTTTTAGTTAGCTTGGATAACATATTAGTGGCATAGAATGCAGTTATTACATTTTTTTCCTGAAACAATTAGATAATTTAAACCATGGAAATTAAATGTTTACATATTCATGTTGTCACAGGAAGCAGACATTATTATGTGGGGCAGTGGAGGATTTTGCACTTGGCATTCCAAATTCCTTATTGCCACTATTTTCTTATTTTTACAATATGGACTCTTCCTTTCATGTAAAAAAATGTATTTTGGACAACAAATTAAAAGCCTACGTATGTCTTATGCCATAGATTGAGTTTAGCGTTAACTGTAAAGGTGTATTGGAAGAGAAGGGAGTGTTTACTGGTGGGGACTGCAGGGCTAGCGCGAGGCGAAAAGGGGCTCTCAAATGCAGGCATTTAGTACACAGATGATCCTCACAGTTATTCTCACACATGCTATTTCAAAAACAGAACTAAAGAAAGTAAAATTAAAATAGCTAAGAGGAAATTATTAAAATATCAAATGAATAGAAAATATAGCATTAAAAACATACAATGGCCATAAAAAATTAGTTTCAGTAAAATCAGTTCATTTAACTACAACCCACTGTAGGCCAAGGTGGCAGACGACAGTGTGTGTCCTGTTCGGCTGGACTGACCGTGTGAGTGCAGAGTTCTCTGTAGGATGATTCGAGCCAGTAGTGGAGAACGAAGACGAACGCCAAAGTCCATACTGAGTTTTGGCATCTTAAACTCAGAATGTTCTGTATGGTAAGCCAACTGGACTCCCTAAATCTTTTCCAAACTTGTTGCTGACAAACTACATCTTTTCCCTTCCTATGCTGTACAAGTTTTTCTACTTTCAATCCAAGAACAGGGTTTTATTTTTACAAATGATTTGGTTCATTATTTCAGACCATGGCTATTGAGACTCTGTGATCAAGTGCCTTTACTCTGTTTGCCTCCAAGTTTCCAGTAATCTACAAAAGTTATCTTCTGTATCCCACTTCAAATTGCTGGTAAAAATAGATAGGGCACATCTTGTTTAATTACAGTTTTAAAAGGATGCATACAATTGTAGTCATAGGAAAATGTTTGCTTTTTTCTTTTTTCCAGTGTTTCTAGAGAAAGAAAAACATGACAACCCTCATTCTTTGCTTTATGGGGGTAGAGACCTTATTGCTGGAACCTACGAGAGGAAACCTTCTGGAAATATGGGAGGGGAGGGGGGTCGGGGTGAGGGATTCTGCTGGGAGATTCCTTATTTAGACAGGCTCAGGCCTGTCTAAAACATGGTGAAGGGGAGAAGAGGCAGAGTAAGAAACAAGAGGACTGGACAATGTCCCCAACAAGGAGATTTCCTCCTGTCAGAGCCATTTGTTGCTGCTAATGTTGTTTTACTTTTTATCCAAGTAATAATATAAAGAACACGGCAAAAATTTCTTTGCAACATCATGGCAAAACACTACAACTACAGCTAAAATGTGGCAATTTTGAAATGGACAGGCTTATGCTATCCATCTCACAGAAGAGAGGCAGTAGGAGAAATCCTGCCCCACCACCCACCACACACTGGGGAGGTGAGTACATTCATTAGGACACCTTGTTAAAGCAAGAGGGAAGAATGAGGGAAAACATTCCAGAAGTTCTGTCAACATATAACCATTCTGGTCATAAAGAACTGAACAAAATACAATAAAGTTGAAAAGTCACCATTTCTATAGCAAATACTCTGCTTTAATTCAGATTTAATTAATAAGTTATTAACAAGCTATTACCCTGAAACAAAAACTTTTTACTACAGGAAAAAAAAGACATGCACAACCCAAAGACAATCTGCTTTTACTTCATTGAATACTATCTTACACACAATATTTACAGATATAATTAAACAGAATTTATAAGATTATCATGTGGAACATTTTTCAAAGTTAATCTGAAACTCATAATAAAAATCATCAATACATGTGTGTTACAATACAATACAATAATAGAATGTAGAACTTTTCAGCCAATATCATGATGGTTAATTTCATAAAAACTTTCTTTTCAAAAAGAGATAAGTCTGAGGAAATATTTTAAAAATTCAGAAAAAATATTTCCATATCTAGTCATAATCTTCCAGCTTTTCTGTAAAAAAAAAATTATAGACATTCTCAATTGCATACATGACTATTTTCTTTAATACTATATTTAACTTTTAGCATATTAGAGTTGTTTCTCATTTATCATATTTTCAGCACAGGTTTAAATGTTTTTCTTATGTTTCAAAAGCAATACATAATTTAAATTAAAAACCAGTATCTGAATATTATTTTAAAAATAGTAACAAGACGTGGCCACCACTATACCTTGGCTCTTCATTATGGCCGGTCCATGGAAGGGAACCACATGGACAACAAAAGTGAGGGAGTCCTCTAACCAGTTCTAAGTGTGATTTATTGGAGGTGCCAGTTGCTTTCACAGACATTAAGAAGACATCAGAAACAGCATCTACACCTATATGTCTGAGAGAATACTAGGTATCTGGGGGCTAATGGTCCTAACTTACATCTATAACAACATTCTTAGAATAGAACCACAAAAAACGTAGGGATAACGGTAGCACAGTGACATATGAGAAGAGTTAACTTCTCTATCTGCACAAATGTGGAGGCATTTCACTCTGATTTTCGGTGAGCTAGATTTACTACCCATTCACAGAAGTCAAGAATTACAGCATTTCTCATCTTTAAAATGTAGAGGATGTGCTATTATACAAAGTTTATTTTCCTTTGGAAAAAAACATGGTTCTTCAAAAGGTATCACAATCATTTTTGGAAAACCTAGATATTAAAAGGTAAAGGATCTAATTGTATCTACTCATTATGAAACATTTCAAAATCAGTGGGTCAGTGATAGTAACTTTTATATTAAAACTCTGAAAAACTAACTTAATAATTTGTGGTATTCATTTTATTAGAATAACACCACTGAAGGGGCAGATAAGCATGACTTAGAAAATCATAATGAATAAATACCATTTATTATCTACTATGTAAAAAACATTCACTTGCTAAAAAAAGATTCTGGAAATGGTGGTGGTGCTGGGTTTTGGGGTTTGTGTGTTTGTTTTTCAAGTAAAATTTCCCCTTATATACAATAAACAGATCTTTTGCTCAGGAAATCCATTTCTCAGATAATATACAAGCAAATTTCAGAATGTTATGAATTATCATATCATGTAAATAACTAGAACATAAATTAATGGTGCTTGAGGGGCCATTTTTAAATACAGAAAGTACCCCTATTCATGAAAAGTTTAAGCAGTTGAAAAAATATATATACAAATAAAGGTTGAACTTGAAACAATGGTATAAAGTATACTTACAATCTAAATCATGGTAGAGAGCATCATCATCTAGCGATTAACCATTCAATGTTAACATATGCATGCATCAATTTTTTAGAAATCACGTATACATATGATAGATATGTTTATATTAAATATAAATATAGCCAGGAGCAGTGGCTCATGCCTGTAATGCCAGCATTTTGGGGGGCTGAGGCAGGCAAATCACTTGAGGTCAGGAGTTCAAGACCAGCCCGGCTTCAACATGGTGAAACCCCACCTCCACTAAAAACACAAAAATTAGCCAGGCATACTGGCAGGTGCCTGTAATCCCAGCTACTCGGGAGGCTGAGGCAGGAGAATCACTTGAATTCGGGAATAGGGGTTGCAGTGAGCTGAGATCGCATCACTGGAGTCCAGCCTGGGCAAAAGAGTGAGACTCCATCTCAAAAACAACAACAAAAATGTAAATATACTACTGTAAATTTGAATTTTCTTCTAAAGCACGTATTTTGTTCAGAAAGTTGCCTTTTACCAAAATACAAAACACTTATGGTGGCTGTGTCTTGGTTAATAGGACATTAACATCAGAGATACATAATAGCTTTCTCAAAATGCAGGGCATACCTACCTATATGGTCAATAGTTGATCATTTTTCGAAGGGCATCATAACACTTCCATTTGTCTGGGATGTAGAATGGTTCAAAAATGTGAGGAAATGGTGTGTCATAACCACACACTCTTGATATAGGAGCCTCTAGGTTCAAGAAACATTCCTCCTGCAAACATGAATCAAGATGGTTAACTTCAAAAACAAGTTTTATTCACAGAAATGAAATAGTGCAACTTAAAATATTTCACTTACTCAAAATACAATTTCATCCAAGCACATAAAAAATATTTAAGTATATTGTAATATGAAAAAAGCAGGTAACAGCATGTTAGCATGATTCCAATTTTACTATATTTTCATGTATGTACATGCATTTTATACCTGTAAAATATCTGTCTAAGCCAGACTGGGATAATACCAAACATGCTGTTCTATGACTATAAATGGAAAGAATTATAAAAATGCAACAAAAATTCACAGTAGTTAACTCTGCAGCATGAAATTGGCAAGAATATATACTTTCTCATTTCCTGTTTTCCTCACATTTTATACAATATACATGTATTACTTTCATAATAAATGTTTGTAATTCCTACATGCGCCAGCCAGACTGAACTTCTATCAGTTACTTGACTGTGTTCTCATCTCTCTCATAGTCTGGCTTTTGCAGATGCTGCCGGTTCTCTGGCCACTCATAATCCAAGTCCACAGCTCTTTGCCTGACTGATATATGTACAAATCTCAGGTTATTAACCTCAGGAATCACTCCCGCTGGGAAGCCTTCCTTGACAGCACCTCCCCAACCCTACAGAGCAGATGAAGGAGGGGCTTCCACTCTGAGCTCCCAGAGTCCTGAGCTTGGCATAATCCATTGCAGTTGCTCAATTATCTGTCTCCCATGAGAGACTATAAGCCCCATGAAGCTAGAGATCTGATTTAAATATGTAAAACCTCAACTCCAGTAGAACACTGTATAAATATCTTCAGGGAGAAAAAAATGTTAGTAAAATTATTCAAATTTGAAATTGTTTTTGAGACAGGGTCTCACTTTCTTACCCAGGCTGAAGTGCAGTGGTGCAAACATGGCTCATTGCAACCTCAACCTTCCAGGCTCAAGGAATCCTCCCACCTCAGACTCCCAAGTAGCTGTGACCACCAGCAAGCACCACCACGCCTGGCCTTTTTGTTTGTTTGTTTTTGTAGAAACGGGGTCTACTTATGTTGCCCAGGCTGGTCTCAAACTCCTTGGCTCAAGTGATCCCCAGCCTCCGCCTCCCAAAGTCTGGGATTACAGGTGTGACCCACCAAGACTGAATATACAATGTTTAAAGAGTTAAAAAATCTAAAATAGGGAGGTGGTTAAACTATTCTGAGGAAAATAATATTAGTTTTAACATTCACAGCTATTACCTAAAATAAAACCTTGGTATTTATTCATCTGTTTGCACATTGCCTTGCTTTATAAAGGACTTAAGGAAGCCCAAATTTTTTTACATATTATACTATGTTTACATTCTAATTAGAGTAGAAATTTTTACATGAAAGAATCATGACATCTCATGCTTTATCCCTACCCTCTGTGTGATTTCCTCCAGTGATAAGCGTACTGGGGCGGAAAGAAAATGCAAACAGCACATATTAACTCCAAAAAGAACCTATTGGACATTTACAGAACTCCCTTTGACCCCAATAACTTCCATGACTTACACCAAATAAGTATTGGTATTCCCTAGCAACTGGAAATCTCCACAAACAACTTTAGGACTTTTAATACACACGGTTTAAAGAGCCACCTAAGAGATTCCACTACTAATAAGCTGAAAAGAGATGACAGACTGGGTGGATTGTTTTTTGTTTGCAACAAGTAATTTTAAAGAGCTTTAAATTGTCAATTTGGGATTAGGTCAGTTTTATTACTTTAGCTGACAAAACACTGTTTTTCCATCTTCCCTGAATACTGAACTCTTCATAAACAAACTATCCGTGGAAAATTAAGGGTAAAATAATTTTACTAAATGCCTTTGATTTTACACCTGTTATACAATGACTATTCTCTTGAACTAGTAACTTGGAAAGCTGGCCCACCACAAGAAGATCTGTCAGTATTTGCTAAAATCACTCCTTTCAGCATAATAACTAACATCATCAAACTAGCTTCTTATTTTTTCAAATAGCAATGCTCCTAACTCCTCAAGAATGTAAGCATCACTCTTTCCAGGAATACATCTATAAGTCTACACAAGCATAGAAAAACATCTACTGCGGGGACATACTGAGCTGTAAACAGTGGTTACCCTTTGAGGCTGGGAATCACAAGGAGGTGAGAGAAGACATCCACTTTCTGCTTTATAATATATTGTTTTGGTTTTTATAAAACAATATATAAAACAATGACGCTGAAATGAAGTAAAACAGTAAAGTGAATAATCATATTGTTATGTGAATAAAAGTTCCTGTTTTATGTTACATAAATTTGTGATTTTATACATAGGAATTCTTTAATTTGGAAACGATTACTATAAATTACATGGCATTGCATTGTTATAAAATACTACTATAAGTACATAAAATGTATTGTAAAAATCATGGAGGATAATTCAAGGATATGTAAGAGAAGACTACGAATAGGGTATTCAATTTTTTTTAAGAATATATGCTGACTGACTGAAACAGCTTGAAATTCTCTTTACTAACAAAAGTATACTAACGAGCCTTAAGTTATTTCTTCCATGAACTTCAGTTTACACTTATTTTTAAGCAGTTGGAAATAAGACCCTTAGGTCAATCAAGCAGCTATATGGTTACTTCTCACTCAGTTGGTTCACACATAAATAATTTATGTGTATGTTTCTTTGAACTACCATCAAAACAGGACACCCTTATTCAGCCTCACTGTTTTAATGCAGAAGCTGTATATATGTGTATACACACACACACAGAGAAAGAGAGAGAGGGAGTGGA